CTGGGGGGCAATGGTGGGACCGATGAGGTCAAGTTCAGGAAAGCAGATTTGTGCTGGACACAAGGAAAACCTTCTGGTTGACCCAGCTCCCCATCTCGAGAAGGACTGACAGGATGTCCAGTCTGAAACCCAGACAGGACAGGGGAAGGGATGGAGGCAGGGCCCAGAGGGGATAGGGCCCGGCCAAGGCAGCACATTGAGCCTGAAGCTGAGCTGAGACCCAAGTCTCTGAGTCTCAGCCCAGTGCTCTGGGCCTCTGACGGGGCTGAGGGGCCATGGGCCAGTTATTTGACCGCCCTGAGCCCCGCTAGATGAGTCACGGTGACGTCTCGGGATCCTCAGGGTATAGGATACTGTTTGTAAAGCATTTAGCAGAGGTCCATATACAAGAAATGGCTCTGATTGTTATTTGCACAAGGTTGTAAACGAGCACCTGCAGGGCAGGCTGTGCGAGTGAGTGGAGGGTGCTGGGGATGACTGGACGAGCGGAGCAGGAGGGCTGGGCCCCTCTAAGGAGCACAGCTGCCGTGCCGCCTAAGACCACCGTGCGGGGCCGGCGGCGCTGGGATGTAGTCACATGCTCTGGTACGGGGGCAAAATATTTCACATTTCATCCTCAGATGGGGGCCTGGCTTGTCCCCACTGCTCTTTTCTGGAAGAAGCCTGAAATCTAAAGTGCACCAAATTTTCCATTTTTCCAACTTCTGATCTCTTCATTTGGAGGAAATGGTGGGAGATGGGGGTTTGCTTAGGGCGAAAATGGCCCATGGCTCAGGCAGCTCCCGGCCCTCAGCTTCCGGGAGATCTTTTAAGGCCTGAGCTCCCCCTGAACTTGCCCTCCCGCCAACAGTCATGACTTGCGCCGACCCTGGTGAGATCACCAACGGGCACCGTACCACCTCAGACGCTGGCTTCCCTGTGGGCTCTCACGTCCAGTACCGCTGTCTGCCGGGGTACAGCCTGGAGGGGGCGGCCGTGCTCACCTGCTACAGCCGGGACACGGGCACACCCAAGTGGAGCGACCGGGTCCCCAAGTGTGCCTGTGAGTCTGGGGACACCCTGGGAAGGGTGGCTGGGTGGCCTGCTCAGCAGCGAGCCAGGAGGTGACTGACGTATGCCCTGCAGTGAAGTATGAGCCGTGCCTGAACCCAGGGGTGCCAGAGAACGGCTATCAGACGTTGTACAAGCATCACTACCAGGCCGGCGAGTCTCTGCGCTTCTTCTGCTACGAAGGCTTTGAGCTCATCGGCGAGGTCACCATCACCTGTGTGCCCGGCCACCCCTCCCAGTGGACCAGCCAGCCCCCACTCTGCAAAGGTGCCCGGGCAGACAGGGCAGGAGGGGGCACGGCAGGGTCTGGGGAGTGACGGGACTGGGAAAGTCAGGTAGTAGCAAATTTGAGAGCAACGGTAACCCTGCTGAGCTCCCCATTCACCTCCTGTGGGATCTGGTCCTCACAAGTACACCCAGGGGTCCTGGGGAATTTCAAGGTCATGGAATTGTCCTAAGGGATGTAGCAGAGGGGGCCTTGGCTTGGAAGTCTCTTGCCCTCTGGGTAGGTCTCAGGTTCCCCATTTTTGACAAATTCTACAGACCCGATTAGTTCAGACTGCCCAAGAACCCTGAACTTCTCGGGGTCTGGAGAAGGAGGAAGAAGGCCCTGCCCTGACTACTCCTCCCCTGGCCCCCACCAAAGGAAGGCTAAAGTTTATGTTGAGCAGAGGGCAGAGAGAACCAGGCTGTCCAGCCCAGCCCCACTGGGCTCCCGGCCTCTACCCAGCCTCCTTCCCTCCCTGGCTCAGACCCCGTCCCCTCCCCCTCCTCTCCCTGCAGTGGCCTATGAGGAGCTCCTGGACAACCGAAAACTGGAAGGTCAGTGAGGGCACAGGTGGAGACCCAGGCCTGGCCGAGTCGGGAGGGCAAGGCAGAGGCCGGGGGCAGGAGGCCCGGCCCCGGAGGGGTGAGGCCCAGGGTTTGAGGCCCAGGGTTCGAGGCCCAGGGCAGGAGGCTGGGAGAGGCCAGTGGGCTGGGCCCAGCCCCAGCTCACTGGCCTCTCCTCTCCCCAGTGACCCAGACCACAGACCCGTCGCGGCAGCTGGAGGGTGGGAACCTCGCCTTGGCCATCCTGCTGCCCCTAGGCCTGGTCATTGTCCTCGGCAGTGGCGTTTACATATACTACACCAAGTAAGTACCCTACTCGGGGAGCTGCTCGCCAGGGCAGACGTCCTGCCTGCCTGGCACAGATGCCTGGGTGAGGGGGGGGTTGGGGGCTCACCTCTCGATAAGCCCCTCTATCTCCTCCCTCTCCCAGACTACAGGGAAAATCCCTCTTCGGCTTCTCGGGCTCCCATTCCTACAGCCCCATCACTGTGGAGTCAGACTTCAGCAACCCACTGTATGAAGCTGGGGTGAGCTCTTCCCCTCCCCCTGGAGAGCCACATCTCAGCTCCCCCAGGGCTCCAGATCTTTCTCTCAAAGTCTCTGTAATACCCATCTTGGGGATTTCAAACTCAGCTGCAACACAGCAAGTCGGGTGTGCCTGGTCGGGAGTGGAGGCATGGTGGGGACTGTGGCTAAGGGGCCAACTTGTGCCCCATCTAGTCTGTAGTGAAAACTTAGGCCCAGTTGCCAGGTCTTCCAGTTGTTCAAGACAACCCAAAAACTCAGATTTGTGTGTGATTTTAAGATACCGTAAGATGAACCAAATATCCCCAGGCCAGATTCAGCCCCATTCCCACCCCATGGCTCCCAAACCTCATGATCCATGTTATTTTAAAAACCCAGGTCTTTCCCCTCCCTGATGGATGCCTCCTCCCATTTTGTTCCCTCCTCCATCCCCGTCCCGCTCCAGCAACTGACCCCATCTCTCTGTCTCCAGGATACACGGGAGTATGAAGTTTCCATCTGAATCCCAAGACTAAGGCTGCAGGACCCAGGACGCCCTTCCCCTCCCCACTCTGGGCAGGGAGGAGCACAGGACCTCATCTCTGGCTCCTTTCCTCCCTGCTGTGTAAATAGTCTCTTGGTCCCACGAGGGGGCTTTGACGGCCCCGGGACCCTACAGTAAATAAACCAGCATCCTGCCGCCCAAGCCTCCTCTTCTCAGTTGCCAAACAAGGGGCCTGCCCCTCCCCTCCCGCCCTTCTGGCTTTTGGACCCTGGGAGGGGAACTCAGCCCCTCTGCAACTCCTGGGGCCCCTCCGGCCCAGGGCACCGCCCCCCCCCCCCCAAGGACTGCCTGAGAGTTCTGCTATTCCCTTGGCCCTGAAGGCTCTTCCCAGTTGCTCTGGCCACAGGCCTCACCCCTGGGCTCCGGAGGGTCAGAAGAGGGATGAGGGGGAAAGCAGGAACAAGGCCCCCTACCCGCTTCATGCCATCACCCAGCCCACAATCTCCCCACCTTTGCTTCTGGATTTTTGGTTTTGAGCAATAAACAGAAAACCACCATTTGTAACTGGGCTGGTGGGGTGTGGGAAGGTGGGTCACGGGTGGGCTGGAGAGAGGCCTGGGGGAAAGGGAACAGTTTGGGAAATCGATGGAGCTCCAAGACGGGGAACAGGGCAATGTCAAGGGGGCTGGCCTGGGGACAAAACGCCCGGCTTTCGGCTCAGCCTGTGTGGAGGATGAGCCCCCTCTGGGCCTCAGGTGTCTCTACCCCCATGCTTGATGCTTCTAGGCTCTTTTAGCCTGAAGATAGCAGCTGACAGCAGCTGCCTCCCCTGAGTGGCAGGAGCCTCCCTCCCTCACTGCTTGGCAGGACGCAAACAGCTCTCCGTTCCATGACCCGTTCACCTAACATGCACGCTCCTTTTGAGAATGTTTGTATCTATCCAAGTGTACCATTTTTCCCCCCAATCTTTTTGGCGCTGTAAGTATATCTGCTGTTACATGTCTACTAAGTAATGGTCAAATCTGTAGCATTTCATAAAGAATGAGCTTGTTTCGTACCCTCTGGGGGTCCTTTTCCAGCTTATTTGCTTTTGAACATTTGTCTAAAGGGTCTCCAAATCAAGTGAATTTCACTTAATTCAAATTTTATATTTAAATATAATTACGCATTTTTAGGACACTCAAAAGGACCCTGACATACTCAGAGGAGGCTGAATTTTAGCACACGATGCAAACTGATCCTTACAATAGCCTGCGTTTCTGGGCCTTTCTTCTGTGCCGGCCATGGTGCTTAAGCACTTTGTATGTGTTCTGTTTTCAACCTCTACAAGGAGCCCGCAAGACAGGGATAATTATTCCCGTTTCTCAGATAAGAAAACTGAGGCTCAGAGATGTGAACAGACTTCCTCAGGAGGCTCAAATAAGTGACCAGATTCAGATTTAAATGTAAACGCCACCAAGGTGGCTGCATTCCCTTCTGGCGAGCAATGGGGGTGACATGTTCCCCAGGCATGAGGCCCCGGAGCCTGGAGGGGAGGCCTCAGCCCTGACGTTGGCGGCAGAGGTGGCTTCTCAGAAGCAAGGGTGGACCCTCTCAAATGCCAAAGGCCTAGACATTAAGGTGCTGGAGTGTGGCTGGGAGGCTAGGTTCGGATCCGTGAGCTCATCTCCGCCAAAAGGCTGACAGAAAACAGGTCGTTAACTGCCCAAATTAAAGCCATTCCAGTAACATGGAATATGCCATTTCACCCATATGCCCACATATCTGGCAAGGGAAAAAAAAGAAAGAAGAAGAAGAAGGAGAAAAAGGAAGGAAGGAAGGAAGGAAGGAAGGAAGGAAGGAAGGAAGGAAGGACGGAAGGAAGGAAAATAAAGAAAAAAAAAGAAGAAAGAAGAAGAAGAAGAAGTAGAAGAAGAAGAAGAAAGAAGGAAGAAGAAGGAGAAGAAAGAAGGAGAAGAAGAAAAGAAGAAGAAAGAAGAGAAGAAAGGAGAAGAAGAAAAGAAAGAAAGAAAGAGAGAGAGAGAGAGAAAGAAAGAAAAGGAAAGAAAGAAAAAAGAAAGGGCCGCCCTTTCACATCTCCACCCCAGAGAAGCCACTCCAGAGCCAGGCCTGGGTTGGGAGGAGGGAAGGACCTCTCTTGGTCTTTTTATTAAAGCCTTTGATTTCTGGTGATGTCCTTGCCAGCTGAGCGTGGAAAGGTGTGAGATGGTTCCAGAACACCTGGGAGGCTTCAAGTGTGCTGCTGCTTATGACCAGGAGTCCCCAGCAGACCGAAGCGTTAGTGACTTGTGAATGAGGAGGTCTGACGCATGTTCTAGGAGGACACAATGGGGGGAGCGTGAGAGGCCAAGAGCAGCACTGCAGAAGGTTGCGGTCATCCTCCAGATGTCAAGCTGCTAAGCCCAGCTCCCTAGAAAAGTAAAAGAGCCTTCTGATTCTTTGGACCTAACACTCCTATGTTCTCCTTCTGTCCCTCACCTCTCCATCCAACCCCTATCCCCCACTCATCTCTCTATCCATCCACCATTCCCCATCTTCCCCCACCCATTCACCCGCTATCCATCCATGCACGTATTTATCCACCCACACATCTACCCATCATTCTACCCATGCATACATTCTACTCACCCATCTGCCTGTCCATCTATCCCTCATTCACCCATCCACCCACTCAGCCCTCTTCTACCTAATAACTCAGCCCCCATTTAAACTTCTCAAAAGCAAGGGAGTCTACCTTGCTCACTTCTATACTCCGGCCCCTACAGCAGCCCTGGCACATAAACGTTCAGTGCCTAATGAACCTTCAGTGAATTTGTCCATCCATTTATCCGTTCATCCATTTGCCTACCCTCTCCATCGGCTCATCCGCTCACCCATGCCCCGACTCAATATTTTGCCCACCTACAATGACCTATAATTCGAGGGGCAGTTCAAAGATCTGTAGGCTTCCATGTTCTTGAGGATGAGGAAGGGAAAGTCTCTTGGGACCATGGGGCGCTGCCCAGGGGATGAGAGGGTATTGGCTCAGGATGAAATTCTCAATCAAGTGCCATTTGGGGGCACAGGAAACCACTGTATGGACAGATAGGGCCCTTACAGAGCATCTTGTCCAAGGCCCCCATTTGACATATGGGGAGAAAGGAAGCAACTTGCACAAGGCTAACTATCAGGTTGAGAGCAGATTAGCTGTTAAGGCCCAGGGCTCTCCTGCTACTTCAAGCTGCTTCTACCACCAAAGCCCAATTGGGAAAGTTCAAATATCCCAAAGGCACTAGAAGGCCAGCTCCCTGAGGTTAAGAATTGTGCCACTGGTCTTGGTCATGAACATTGGAAGTAGCAGCCCCAGAAAACTGACCATCCCTAACACCTGGTGGAGCCGGCACATACTAGACACTCAATAAACATCTGCGGTCAGCTCCTTCTCTGCCTTCCTCACGACCCCCTCTCTCCTCCTCCACCAACTCCTCACATGGAGAGATTCTTCCAGACTCCAGCCTCAGCGCCCTCTTCCTGCTTACTCTGCCTACCACCCCCCCCCCAACAGCCTTCAACTGCTGACTCCCTCCTAAATCCAATTTCTATCACCAGCCCAGACATCCCTGGTGAGTTTTGAAGCCCTATTTCCAACTCTCTACATGGTATTTCCACCTGGTCTTCCCAGGGGCACTGAGGTCAACCTACCCAAAGGTGGGAGCACGGCTGCCGTGCTCCAGGAAGACTGAGGAGGCTGGCATGGCTGAGAACAGAGGGAGACAAGGCGAACAGTTCTAAACAATGAGGTCAGAGAGACAGTGGGGTGTGGGGGAGGCGAGAGGCCCTGTAAGCCACTGAAGGACCTTGGCTTTTCCTCTGAAGCGGGGAATTATCGTTATCATGGTGTTCAGAGCAGAAGCATGACATCATCAGACTTAAGTTGCAGAAGTCAGAAATGTGGGGGCGGGTCATCTGATTTCCTCTTTTTTCTTTCCCCCCTACCATTTCTATTCAATGACCAAACTCAGTTTTCCTGGTCTTTATTTCTCATATCTGCCCCTCTTCTCATCTCTACTATTACTATGACAATTCAGGAGCCGATCCTCACCGGCTTAGTCTCTTGGCGTAACTGCCAACTGGCCTCCACCTCTCATCTCCCCTTTCCAGCTCACTCCCCCCACTGACCACCGGAGTGACTATCTAAAATTACAACCTCGCTTGCTCAAATCTTTTCAGGGGCTCCTGATCTTAAGGCACGCACGCATGAGGTCTCTGAGTAGACCTGGACTACCACGCCTCTGTACTCCAGCACCTAAACTGCCCTCTGATCCCACTTTCTCTCCCCCTCCTAAGAACACAGACACACTCCCATTCACTCTGCTGAAACTCACCTCATGTCTTTGCTCATACAAGCCCTACCACTTGGAATACCCTGACCCACCCATTTTTTTCCTGGAAGATTCTTTCTTTTCTTTTTCTTTTTTTTTTTTTTTTAAAGATTTTATTCATTTATTTGAGAGAGAGAGAGAGAAGGAGAGCACGAGAGGGGGAAGGGTCAGAGGGAGAAGCAGGCTCCCGGACGTGGGGCTCGATCCCAGGACACCGGGACCATGACCTGAGCCAAAGGCAGCCGCTTATCCTACTGAGCCACCCAGGTGCCCCTGGAAGATTCTTTCTTTAGATGTCACCTCCACCAGGAAGCTCCATGATTCCTTTCCTTCCTACCCCAAGGCTGGGATAAGCGCTCTTCTCGTTTCCAATTCTATTATAGGCACTGATCCATATCATGTTGTAATTGACCATCTACTTGACCAGCGCCACGCTAAACTGTGAACTCCTCAAGGGCAGAGACTGTATCCTTCACTTCTGGGTCCCGAGCTCCTAAAACCGGGACTGGCATATCCTGTGAACTTTAAATGTTTGGTTAATACTGAATGGCCTTGTCATTCGTGGAATCAGTATATACCTTGTCACGAGGGGACGGCAGGAGGTGGGCCCTGGTGCAGGTACGGTTTCTGTCAGAACTAGAGAAGGCAGAGGGAAAGGGGAGGGCCGAGAATGTGGAAGTCGAGGACCAGAGCAGAAGAGAATCGGACTACACGGTTTTAAAATTTCCCTACCCTGCTAGGATGTTGTTAAACCCTCGCTCTCTCCCCTTCAGTCTCCTCGTCCTTCTCCCAGGACAAAGGGCATCTCCCTTGAAGCTTCACTCACCAGGTATCGGTGCCTCGGGTCTTGAAGGACACTGGAAGTAGAGGCCCGCGTCAGAGAAATTATTACTCCCAGAGCCAGAAAGAGATGTGGCTAGGGAGAAAGGGGCTGAGGTGTTCCTGGCCAGCAGTGAGGGGTGGGCACTGGGTGAGTTGGAGGGGGCAGCACTGCGCAGTCCAAGGGCTGGCTGTGAGTTCAGGGAGGTGGGCCCAGATTGCTGGAAAAGGTCAGCTGTGGTTGGGAGGGGTCAGGGACTGGAACTCGGGGCATGGTAGGGTCTCCGGACACAGTGGTCCTGGAGTGGGGGGGGGTCACCGTGTTTGGATATCTGAGTCCCTCGATCTTGGGTCTGTTTTTCCTTGGTGGGCACAGAGTTCATGTGGCAGCCAGCGATAAACAAGGCCTCATTGGTGAGTTCTGTGCTGATCCGGGTCAGGAATTCCTCAGATCGGGATAATGAAACCTTCTGCAAAAGGGGAAATCAGAGGGGCTCAGCCTGGGAGTTCCCACATGGGAGCCCTGGGTCTGGGTCTAAGGTCTGAGTCTGGTATTGGAGGGCTGATTCTTGAGATTTGGCAGAGAAGGCACTGGAAATGAGAGGCAGTCTTTGAGAACCTCAGGGCCAACTGCTGGGGGCTATGGGCTCAGGGTTGAGACTAGAGTCTCAAGGCTGGAGGTGTCAGTGCCCTTGGCCTAGGAGCTCTCCATCCACTTCGGCTCACTCCCATGCTCACCAGACTTCCACCCGAGGGGGTTCCAGCTTGGGACATCCTGCTGCCCCTCTCCCCATTCCTGGTAGGTGTGGATGCCATCCCCCTGGAAACAGGTGACACCTGTGTTAGGCTGAGAAACCAGCCCACTTTCCCCAAACCCATCCCACCACCATTCTTCAAGGCCCAGATTTAAGTAAGGCCTTTAGATGAACCATCCTGCTGTCCGGTTCTCTCCCTGAAAAAACAAATCTTTGCCTTAAATCTCCCTGGGGGAGGGAGTGGGGTGGCCCAGGAGCACTCTCCTTCCTCCCACCCGAGGCCCTTCCCAAGACAAGGCGCCAGCCGGCTTCCTGCTCCCCACCTGGCAGATGAGTTGAAATCCTGGGCAGGAGGGAAAAACAGGGAGGGCTAAGAAGCCGCTGTTTAGGTCTCAGGGGACGGGGAGTAGGAGCTGGGGAGGAAGACTGGAAAGAGGGGGACCCGGGGCGGTGAAGCTACCCGTTGTTATAAAAACCTTGCTGTCTGTGGACGTTCTGCAGCCCCGTTGCCAGGATATTAGGGATTCTAGAACCTCTAGAACCAAAGGCGGGGGCCGGATGGGGGGGGCATTTTCCCAGCACGTCGCATTCGCTCCTCTGGTCTCCGTTCCACCTCCTTTCGGATCCCTCCTTGGGGATGGTGACCCCAGCGCCAGAAGTCTGAGAAACCGAATCCTCCTACCACTAGGGGCGCGCAAGAAGCAACCCCGCCCTCGGCCGCCCTCCAGCCTCTCTAGCCGCTCTCTCGCGGCCTGGAGCCGGCGAGAGCAAATGAGGCCGGAGAGAGGGGACGGGGCAGGAAAAAAAAAACTGTGGGCTGTACTAAATAACCTTGCCTCTCGGGGACGCGTAGACCCGGGTGGCGGGGGGCGGAATGTTTTCCCCTTGTCCTGTCTCCAGGAAGCTATACCCTCCGGAGAAAGGAAAGGAGAATCAGTCATCGAGACCCCCTTCTCTTTTGACCTCTCCTTCTGGGTGCCCCCGCCCCCTCCTCGGCGCCGAGGCTTCTCTGCCCCTCTCCTCCCTCTGCGCTTTGGTACGCGCCGATGGAAAGGGGCGGAGGGAGGAAAAGGAAGCGGGCAGGTCTTAAAGGGGCCGCAGCCATTCTTAAGCTTTTTTTTTTTTTTTTTTTTTTTTTCCTCCAGTTTTGCACGCCCGGGTGCGGCTGGGGCGACAGGGGTGGCCGCTGGAGGCGGGAAGGGCTGCCCCCAGGGAGGGCGGGCTGTGCGCGCCCCTACGCCCGACGCACCTCGCGGCCGGCCCATGCTCCGGCGGGCTGCGAGCTCTAACACCTGGGGCCGGGCGCGGACGGCGGGGGCCTGCGCGCTGTGGGCGCGGCCGATCCGCCGAGCCGGAGGGTGAGGCTGCGCGGCGGGGCTGGGACTCGGTTGGCACCTCCAGATCGGGCCCGGGGCGGCAAGGGGGGCCGCCGCGATGCCAGGTGAAAATATCTTCCTGTTTGTGCCTAACCTCATCGGTGAGTGCTGCCCGGGGCTCCCGGCCGAGCGGGAGGGCGAGGGAGGGGGCTTGGGCAGGGTCCCTGATCCCACTCTGTCTGCCCCCGTCCATCCCAAGGTTATGCCCGGATTGTCTTCGCCATCGTTTCTTTCTACTTCATGCCCTGCTGCCCCCTCACGGCCTCTTCCTTCTACTTGCTCAGCGGACTTCTGGACGCTTTCGATGGACACGCTGCTCGAGCCCTTAATCAAGGTGACAGACACCTCCTCCCAGCCAGCCTTGAGGCCCAGCCACCCTCTGTCCCCTTTTCCTGACTCCTCAGGACCTGGGGGCGGGCGGGAACTCGGGAACCTGAGGGCCCCGCCCTTCCCATTTCTGTAGAAAGCAGAACAGAATGGCCTACTTTCTTAGCAGAAGGGATTTAAGCTTGCTGTTGAGAAGAACTTACTGACAGGGTGTGGGGTAGCAAGACTGGACATGGCAGTGCTGGAGGTCTCCCTGAAGAAAAACCCGTTCAACAGGTGTTTCCGGGGGGGGGCTACTGTGTGCCAGGCACAAGGATTAGGGGTTCCAGAAGCCATGATTAGAGGGAGAATGGAGAGGGAAGAAGGATGGTTTCTGAAGGGTCAATTAATTTTTTAATCTGTTCTCCAAACCCGCCTGGCAAGACCTCCCCCAAAACTTGAAGTCTGCTCGTCTGGAGCCCTGGACCCTTGGTTCTGGGATTGATGAGCCGCAGAGCTAGCTTTCTCATGCCCCGCTCCGGCCCCCATGCCTCCTCATTTCCTCTCACAGTGACCCCTGCCCGTTGACCTCACACCCAACAGATAGCAACAGCCTATTTTCCTCCCCAGGCAGTGGACAGTGGACATTTTCCATCTTCTTTTAGATTCTGCATCAGAATGACACGCCAAATAGGGTTCCTGTCACAGACCCACTGCCCCCGATGGCCCCTTCCCACCTAACCGCCCCCGTTTTTCAGGGACCCGGTTTGGGGCCATGCTGGACATGCTGACGGACCGCTGCTCCACCATGTGTCTGCTGGTCAACCTGGCCCTGCTGTACCCACGGGCCACCCTTCTCTTCCAGCTCAGCATGAGCCTGGATGTGGCCAGCCACTGGCTGCACCTCCACAGGTCTGCAGTTCTGGGGGTGCTGGCCGGCTGAAGACACTACAGTGGGGAGGGGTGAAGCTATGTGGAGGGTGTCTGGAAAGCCTTCAGGCTTCCTGGGAGGTCTCCCTCTTAGCCCAGCTTTGTTGAAGGACCCTGGGCAAAGCCTCTATCAGGTCTGGTCCTATTCGCAGGTAGATTAAGCAATCCCTAAAAGTCCTGATTGGGTAGTCCGAGAATTCCAAATAGATAACGGCTGGGGGCTTTGGAATGTCGTATTTGAATCCTGACTCTGCTAGGTAATTACCAGCTAGGTAGTTGTGTGGCTTTGGGCAAGACCTCAGTTCTTAGCTGAGCCCCATCTCGTGCCCCGTCTCCTCTGCTCAATAGAGGCAATCCCAGCACCTACCTAGGAGGATTCAATGGACGTTAGTGGTAAGGAGTGCTCATGGATTCTCCCTGCTTTCTCCCCAAGTTCTGTGGTCCGAGGCAGTGAAAGTCACAAGATGATTGACCTGTCTGGAAATCCGGTGCTTCGCATCTACTACACCTCCAGAGTGAGCATTTCCCGCCCCTCCCCCTCTTATTCCCTCACCTTATGCCAAGCCCTGGGCTGAGCCCTGATCCTAGGTTAGGAGAAGGCATGAGCACAAGGAGGGACACGCCAACCCAGGGGAGACTCCGGGGGAGAGAGGCCTGGAAGCTGAGGCATGAAGGAGGGTAGGATTGGTGGGGAGGGTCCGTGTGCCTTACGGAGGGCAGCAGAAGGGAGGGAGGGAGAGAGAAGCCAGATTGGCCTGCGGGGCCAGTTCTCAACGAGCCTTAGGCCATAAAGGAGAAAGTCTTAGGCCACGTGGGCTTTATTCTGGGAGCACAGATAGTGTCTGGAAGGACTTTTAAAGAGAGAAGTAATATGCTGACATTTCTCTTTCACCCTCGCCTCACCCCTGCACTCCTGTATCCCGGTACCTTCCTGCTACCCATCCGCAGAGGGTTCTGGCCCCTGTCCTTTAGCTGGGGGGAGGGGCGGCACTGCTTAAGCAACCCTTTTGCTCTTTGTGCAGCCTGCCCTGTTTACCCTGTGTGCTGGAAATGAGCTCTTCTACTGCCTTCTCTACCTGTTCCATTTCTCCGAGGGACCTTTAGGTAGGAGGCGAGGGGCTGGGCGGGAGGGTGGGAGGGCCCCCTGGCCTGCCCGCAGTGATGGTGGCCTGGAGGCTGCAGACTCCTGGGCCTCCTCTCCCTCACCTGCATCCCATTTTCTCTGTATCGTCCGTGCTCCCTTCCACAGTTGGCTCTGTGGGTCTTTTCCGAGTGGGCCTCTGGATCACCGCCCCTGTCGCGGCGCTCAAGTCTCTCATCAGTGTCGTCCACCTGGTCACAGCCGCCCGCAACATGGCTGCCCTGGATGCGGCAGACCGAGCCAGGAAGAAGTGACCCCGGAATCTCCAGCCCCTGGCCACCCACCTGCCCTGGGGAGTCTCGCTGGGTCGCATGGCTCCCCTCTCCCTCCTGCGAGGGCCCAGGCTCCCGTCTTCCTAATGTGTTGTCCGGCCTGCTGGGAAGGGGGGTTGGCCTCTTGGGTGATGCCGTGTTCTCCAGAGTCCTGAGGACCAGTCCCACCCCTGGGATTCCCAAGGACCTGGACTTCAAATCAGGAAGGATCCTCAAGAGGCCCCGGCCATACGGGCAGTGCTCCTGGGACACCAAGAGGCCTGAGGACCTGGCATTGTCGCACCTGCTGGCTCAGCCCACGGATCTGGCTTGGCCTGGGACTTTAGGGACACTTGAGTGAGGGAGATGGGGTGGGGGCCGGGTTTCTCAAAAGGCGGGGAGTCAGAGCTGTGCCCCTGGCCCCAGGAAGCCTGGGGTACCCCGGCCAGGAGAGAAGGGAGCGTGTCGATCCTTTCCCATCCCATTCTCCTGTGTCCAGTCCTGGCTCTGAAAACCTCCATAATAGGGGGTGTGGTGAGGGGGGCGGAGGCGGCTTCACTCTCCAGGACTTGGTTTCCTTTGAGATACTCTTGGACCAGGGCCTGGTTGAGGGGAGCTGGGGGGAAAAGGAAGATCCAGCTGGACGCTTTTCTCCTAGTTGTTTCCTAACCGGCTCTGCCCTGTCATTCCACCGTGACCTCGGAGAGGGGGCCTCCCTGCCACCCAAGCTCATGCCCTCTCTTTGCCCACCTTCTTTACAACATTGTCACTGGCTGTCTCCATTTTTTTGTACACCTCACATTTTCTACCCTCACCAGAATGTAAACTCCCTGAGGGCACAGACTTTTCTTGTTCCTTCTCTATCCCCACGATGAAGATGAACCTTAACCTGGCATATCATAGCCACTTAATAAAATTCACAAACAGATGAGTTGGTTTCTCAGTGTGGTCCTTAGATCACCTGTGGACTATTATCTTTTTAAAGATTTTATTTGTCAGAACGAGAGAGCACAAGCAGGGGGAGTGGCAGGCAGAGGGAGGAGCAGACTCCCCGCTGAGCAGGGACCTCGATGCAGGACTCGACCCCAGGACCCTGGGATCATGACCCAAGCTGAAAGCATATGCTTAACCGACTGAGCCACCCAGGCGCCCCGCCTGTGGATTATTTCTTAAAAATTCAGCTGTTTGGACCCTGTGCCAGACCTTTTAGAGCTGGCATCCCTAGGGATGGGCCCAGATGCTATTTTAATAAACAACAGGTGATTGATTCTTCCCCATAATGTTGAGAATCGCTGTTCTGTCTAAAGCAGTTTGGGGGCACTTACTGTGTCATAGACCTTGTTCTGGGCATCTGTCCCTAACAGCTACCCCTGCCATCTGAGCTTTCTCTGCTGTCTGGCACCAGCTTGCTTTTTAAGACTATATTCAGCCTCCCATATGCCAGATCCTGTGCTGGGGGTTCTTTGCAGATGTTACTCATTTCGTCCTTATAATAGCTTAGCCAAGAGGCCCTTGTGTCCCAGCGAGCTGAAATGTAGCAGCTGGGTATTGAGCCTCAGCTCCTGTGCTAGGCCCAGGGGATTGGGTCAGTCCTCTTGGAGGTCACAGGCCAGCCATGAGGGAGATGATAATGCAGTTCGACCGAGCTCGTGGCGGGGATGGGAGAAAAAAGTGCTGGAGCACTTGGGTGTGGCTGAAGCAGGTGGGTGCCTAGAAAGCTGCTAGGGATTGGGGTGGGAAGGGTTAATGTGCAAGCGAGGATGATTCCCAGCGAGGAGAATGGAGGCCAGAGAGCACCCAGAGCAGTTGTGAGGAAATGGAATTGGATCGATGTGCCTGGGACACTGAGTGCCGTGGGTTGGGGCTGGAGAGCTGAGGCTTCCTGAGGAGTCCAGTAGGGCATTTGGACTTAATCCTGAGGGCCACCTGGAGCCACTGAAGGATCTTTGAAGATAATAGGTAAAATATTCCTATGGCAAAAATACGGAATCGTATGCATAACAAAAGGCTGACGAGGTCTGCCACCTTCAGCTCTCCTTTCTCCCCAGAGGTGACCACTGCTACTCATTGTTTTTAGGTCCGTCTAGATAAACTCTTCGCGCC